CTGTTTTGTTTTTGTTTTTGTTTTTTTGGTTTTTACGAGACAGGGTTTCTCTGTATTGTTTCGGAGGCTATGGGTCCAGCCCTGCCTCGAACTCACAGAGACCCGCCTGCCTCTGCCTCCCAAGTGCTGGGATTAAAGGCGTGCGCCACCACCGCCCGGCGCGCATTACCTGTTTTCTACATTATCCATTCTCTTGGCTTATTGACACTTTCATTTCTAGCATCATTTCACTTTGGGCTTTCTTTAGCAAGTCTATCTCTTTGTTCATTTCTTTTTTTCACATCTTGAATTGGCTTCCTGATTTTATTCAGCTATTTTCTTTTGTTCTCAGAGTGCATTCATGTCTTATTTGAATTGTTTGAACATACTTATCAGTCTTTTGTGTTGTTTGTCTAGAAGTTCTCCTATGCCATTTTTTTGGGGGGTGGTTCTAGGCGGGGTTTCTCTGACTTTGGAGGCTGCCCTGGAACTAGCTCTGTAGACCAGGCTGGTCTCGAACTCACAGAGATCCATCTGCCTCTGCCTCCTGAATGCTGGGATTAAAGGCGTGCACTCCACTGCCCAGCTTCTCCCATGTTATTTTCATTAGGTGCCATTACTATAGGATTAGTGTTGTCTAATTTAAAAAAAAAAAAAGGATTAGTGTTGTGGTAGAGTCATGTTGTTTCAAACCCTTCTCTGGGACTTGCCCAGCTGGCGTTAGTTTCTTGGTTAAATTATTATCTTTCTCCTTTTAATCAAGCCTCTCTCCTTTTTAAAAAAATAATTTTATATTTATATATTTTGCATATCTAGGTGTTTTGCTTACATGCATGCCTGGTGCACACATCGATCAGAAAATGGCATCGGATTACCTGAATGATCTGCTGTAAGAACAAGTGCTCTTAACCACTGAGCCATCTCCCCAGCCCTCCCCACCCCCATCTCTGTTTTTCTTTCAGTGGTGGTGTTTTCAAGGTTTGGTAAAGGATAAGGACTTAGTAGAGTTGACTATTGGTTTTCCTCTGGGAGACAGGTATTTAGGGATGGAGGCATTATCTGAGGTCTCCATCCAAGGGTGAGTTACAATCCTGCATCAGCTCAGGTCTCCTACCTGGGTCTGCAGCTCTTGGTGTGGTTTGTGGAACTTTCCACATGTCTGTGGGCCTGCATGTTTTACCCACAGTTAAATCTTGTCCATACCCCAGGTCTGCAGATTTGGCTGAGATTACTGTGAGATATAGAACTGTCCATCTACGATGGGCCTCGCCCAAAGTCAAACCCACCCTATCATTGGCTCTGCACTTCTTCAGTATGTGGAACTCTGTAAGCACCAACAGACCTTACCCTTGTTTAGGACTGGTCCCCTAATTACAAACAATTCTTCAAATGTTACAAAATAACTATTTTAAAATCACATTGATTTATTTTCTTATTGTGTGTGGGTGTATATGTTTGTATACATGCTGGAGTGCCACACTGTACCTGTAGAGGTGAAAGGACTATTTACAGGAGTTGGCTCTACCTTTGTGGGCTTGGGATCAATAATTTTTTAAAAATTAATTTTTGTTTTTGTTTTTCGAGACAGGGTTTCTCTGTGGCTTTGGAGGCTGTCCTGGAACTAGCTCTTGTAGACCAGGCTGACCTCGAACTCACAGAGATCCGCCTGCCTCTGCCTCCCAAGTGCTGGGATTAAAGGCGTGCGCCACCAACGCCCGGCAATTTTTGTTATTTTTTTTTTTAAAAGATTTATTTATTATGAACACAACACCCTGCCCCCGTGTACGTCTACACGCCAGCAGAGGGCACCAGATCTCATTACAGATGGTTGTGAGCCACCATGTGGTTGCTGGGAATTGAACTCATGACCTCTGGAAGAGCAGTCAGTGCTCTTAACCTCTGAGCCATCTCTCCAGCTCCAATTTTGTTATTTTTAAGTGTGTATGTATATTTATTGTGACTCATTGAACACTTTTTGAAATATTTAAAACCTTTGATAGATAATTCAAATTAATTTTTCAAAGTGAAATGTCTTCGTGCATTTTGGTAAATAACTTTTGCTGCTTCCTCCACCACACTCAAACATTAAATTATGTCTTCAAAACTTTGAAAGTCCAAATGAGTTAAGCATTTGTGCTTATGGAGAGTTTAATTTTCAGTTACGGGAAAAGATCATTTCTTTCATACCTTGATAACCATCAATTTATTTCTCAGAAAAAGAAACAATCTTAATAAAAGCTTATTTCAAATTGAAGGGGTTTTCATGTTTGTGGTATGTAGGTGTACAGAGGCTAAGATCAACACTGGGTGTTTTCCTCTATTGTTCTCCATAGTATCATCATCATGTTATTATTATTTTACAGTTTATCAACTTTATGGAGATATGAGCGGTTCTGAGGCTTACTGACTACCAGTCCCCAGCTCCTGTGACATATCTGGTTTCAGAGGAATAAGGCAGAGAGTGAGAGAACATGTATGTGTGCATACACTGTACACACACGCACGCGCACACACACACGGGGCGGAAGGAGAGAAGGGAAACAGAAAATGTTGGTTATGACATAATTAATTGGCAGTCAAAATGGACAGTGCTGAAATTGATGGATTTGGGGATTAAAAGCAAAATATGTAGGCATTTTCTCATAAAATATGGAGAGAAATGTTGCTATTGCAGAGATCTTAACACGCTGAGTGACCCTTTCTGGCAACACCTCTGAGGAGCGCACAGAATGTTGCAGTCCTGTCAGAGAGCTCACGCCGCCGCCAATCTGAAGCTTGGCTTGGGGCTGGAGGAGCAGGGACAGCTGGCTTGTGATGGCTTGGTCGCTCTTTAGAATCTTTACAAGCAGAGTGATTGAAAAGGGGGCGGGGTCTCCAGGGCAACCAATGACTTCGTTAAAGTCTGTGTGGAAAGAACATCTTGCTCCTTCGATAGGATCACTGACAAGGCCGTTGCTTCTAGAGTTGTTTTCCAGCTCTGCTTTGCAGAGATGCTCAAAGAATCAAATGAGGCTGTATAAGAAAGAGCTTTGAGAACTCCAGCCCCTATCAGGGTGAGCTGGGAAAGAGAGTTGCTATCTGCAGACACCAGGTCTTAAATTCCAGTGTCTACTATGGAGTGATGGGCTCTTTCTACACTCTATTTGTTAAACAATGGAACCTATGCTGCACATGGGCTTGCGCCTTTGATCCCAGCACTTGGGAGGCAGAGACAGACCAATGTTTGCGTTTGAAGCTAACCTGGATTACATCGTGAGTTTCAGGCAAGGCATTGCTACATAATGAAACCCTGCCTTAAACAAACAAACAAGAGTGTAACCTATGTTGTGCAAATTTTCTCTGATGCGCTCCAAGAAAGCACATTTTAGTTAACAAAAAGATGTATTCTATAAATGATCTTTTCTGAAGCACACTGGTCATCTTTACATCCTGCACCAGACCTGTGGGGATAGTGAATGTAGTCTGTCCCAGCCACACTGAATATTGGTAACTAAAAGTTCTAATGTAACCTAGGAGTTAGCCACTGTCATTTCTTCATACTCACTAGTATTTCACCACCTTTGCAGGTTTGACAACTGCCAAAGGATACTTTGTTTATTTCTGCCTCTATGGTATCTAGAATGCAGGGCAGTATTCTAACCCATGCTATGAGTAATATAGGGACAATAATTTCTTTTCTCCCAGCCCTAACTTTCTGTTAATGTCTTATGCTCTTATTAAATAATTAAGCCAAAATCTTGACTCCTTTTAAAAAGAGGAACAGATGGTTGAGGTGTGTTTACCCTTTGCCCATTCCATTTCTCTCTAACAGCTTTGAAAGATTCAACTGCACGGATTCAATCTATTTCTTGTAGATTTTGCCCTGTCAGATGCAAAAGTGGAAAAAGAAAATATCACTGCCCGCGAATTCCCATTTCATAGGAAACTGCAGCTTTCAGCTTTCTCTCTCTTCCGCTTGCTTTAAATGCAACCAAGAAGAGCACTCCTGCACCCCCTGGTGTTAGCTTTGCCTGTCCCCCAGCTAGCTTGAGCTGGTTTCTGTATCAGAACACTCAAAGCAGCTTCAGCTAGAACACATTAACCTAACTGGGCCTCACCTTACTTCACACATTCTCGACTTGCAGGCAGGGGGCCAGCATAAGGAATTCTCTCAAATGAAGAAGTCTAGAAACTTAGCAGGGACTAGTAGAGAGGGGAAACAGCTCCTTCACTATGAGCCGCCTGTCTGTAGAGTGTGGAGGAAGCACTGTTTAATGTGTGTGGAAGGACTGTTTCAGGAAAGGAAGGGCAGTGAAGAGAATGACCTAGCCCAGCACTTGGGTTACCGATGAAGGTTAACTGAAAACAACCCGATTCTGCCGTGCTTGCATCTTCCTTTGGGTGTGTCACAGTTTTCTTTGACTTTGGTTTCTCCTCACAGCTATTCATGAGTCAGGAGAAATTGGGGCTGGAGAGATGGCTCTTGTTGCACTTGCCAAGTGTCCAAGTTCAGTTCCCGGCACCCATACAATGGCTCATATTGTGACTACAGACCCAGGGTAGCCCATGCCCTCTTTTGACCTCCACAGGCACCCGGCATACACATGGGGTACAGACATGCACTCTGGCAAAACATCCATGCACATAAAAGAGAAACACATACATTTTAAAAATTGCTTTAAGGACTCAGGAGAAAGTGAACAGTAGAAGTCTATGGTCTTAGAGTTCAAAACAGTCAACCAAGTGTGAGATGGGTGGATTCCTTTGGGAGGGTGAGGGGAAAGTTTGATTCAGGCCTCTACTCTGGACTTGAAGATGCCATCTTTTCTGTGTCTACATTTCATCTTCTCTTTATAAATGTCACTGTGTCCAAATTTATTCTTTTTGTAAAGATACCAGTTACACTGGATTTGGGCCCATCCTAATAATCTTATTTTAACTTTATTACCTCTGTAAAGAACCTATTCCCAAATAAGGTTACATTCAGAGGTACTTGACATTCGGACTTCAACATATGAATCTGGGGGAAGGGTGATACCATTAATCCGTTCCTCTAATCTCATGGGTGATCTAAAACGATGAGTGTGCAGTAGTTGCGCCCAGAAAACTGCAGACAGTCCTATTGGCTGCATTGGCTTCTTATCTGGGGAAAAAGCAGTGGCAAGTACCAAGATGACAGCATCCCCAAATGTGGGCAGACCTGAGACCTCCTAACTTCGTCAAGGACAAAATTATAGCAGTGTCTTTCTAGGGTAGGGCAACACTTTATTCCACAAACAAGAGAACATATTCTGTGGGCCTGGCAGGAGTTGGTTTATAGCCAGGGAAAGGCTGGAGGAAGCAGGAAAAAAATACAAGCGGACAAAGAGCAAACAGGCCATTGTAAAGCTGAATTCCTTCTAAGGCAACAGGAGCACACTGACTGATTGACAATGGGTTCTACTCTCAGTGAGGAGTAAGCAGAGGAATGTTCTTGATTGATGCCAAGGCCTTCTGGGAAATTGGGCTGTTAGCTCTCTAATCCTGGTGTCTAGGGAGCCGGGGTGAACAATTTAGAATGTGAGTGAGTGACACTGTTTGGGTTTTCTGTCTGGTCTGCTTGGACCCAGTATGGGAAGCCCATCCCCAAACAACAGCTCTTTTAATATTCATTGAACAATACACAGTCTAATCTGGAACCCACTATGTAGCCACTGGAGAGGAGGATTTCTGATCCTTCTGCTTCTACCTCCCAAATGTTGGGACACAGACCTGTTCCACTACATCCACAAATATGATAGAATTTAATTCTACTAATTTCTCTGGGTTTTCCTGTGTTTATAGGAAACCACATATTAAAATCACATATAAAATCTTGCCATATGAATAAAATCTCAAAACTCATTTTATGAAAAACTGTGTTTAAATTGTATTATTATTATGAATTATTTTGGTGAGACTGGCTCTCCCTATACAGCTCAGGCTGACTTGATGATTGTCCTGTCTCAACCTTCTTCTAGGGTCTCGGTCAGACACTGCATTCAAGGATCCTTTATAGTCTTAGTGTCTTCATATTCCTTATTAACATTCCTTTTTGCATTTTAGCAAATCATACAGACACACCTAACAAGTTTAGCAAGTTACACCCATATTTCTATCATAGCCTAGACTAGTTATGGGGGTGCTTATTCTCTGTGGTCCTCCTTAGCCCCTGGTGGAGCCGGGGTCACTGTATGGCAGTGCAGGCCCTGCAGGATGTGTGTGAGCAACCACATGATGGCAGCCTGTGGAAAGAAGAAAGGGTTAGGAAGGCTTTTGAGAACATTGTTTTAGAAACCTGCATGAATGAAGAAGAAAGCCCAATACCCAAACCCCTGGCTCAAGACAACTATTTTGTGTTTTGTTTTGGGGGACAGCGTCTCACGTAGCTCAGGCTGGCCTCAAATTTGCAATGTAGATGAGGCTGGCTTTGGTTCTTGACCCTGCTGCTTCCACCTCCAAGTGCCGAGATGACAGAATTGTGCCACAAAGTACAACAGCTCTTCCAGAAGCAGGAGACAGAGGTTAAGCAACCAGGTCTCAGGTGTTTTTACATCTTTAATTGAGAATCAAATGATTGGACTGATAGTTATTTCAAGTGGAATGGTTTTGGTAATCAGTATGGGCATATCTGGTGAACTATAAGGAAAATTCATGAAAACGTAAGATGTCCTCTGATATTAATATGCAGCAGCTATGCATCATGATCTGATTGCACTCTGACGACACAAAGTGTCCTAGGTGCATTTAGATACGTGCTATGGGTTTTGAACTAATTAAGATATTACAATAATGAGTTTTATACAAGCTCTTTGCTTTATGTCATCTTTGGCTGAAGATTTTTGTTTGTTTCAGACAGGGTCTCACATATTCCCATGCTGGCAACAAACTTGCTATGCAGCTCAGGAAAACTTTGAACTTCTTTCTGCCCTTCTTCTGCCTCCCAAGTGCTGGGATTACAGGAGGGTGTGAAGCATGTTCTTTGACAGAACGGAGCCTTTCTTGGCTCTTGATAAGCGTAACTCAGGGGGTTGGGGTGCCAGTGATCAGTCACCAAGGCCATCCAGAGGCTGTGGCTTCCCAGCTTCACACCCCAAAATGAGAAAGCACAGACATGGAGTGATCAGAGAAACTGATGTATTAAGGGAAAGAGAGGAAAGTGTCTGAAAACGGGAGGAATTAGGGATGGAGAGATGCTGCTCTGCCCAGCACCTTTTATGGGTCTTCTGGCTGGAATTGGATGAGGAGACGGAGGAAATCTTTACTGGGATTGTTCATTTGGGGGGGACATGGAAGCTCAGCCAGGGAGGTATCTATACATGCTCCCTAGGCCTGAGGGGTCTAACGGTGAGTGGTCACTTTGGATCCTCCATGGGCCTTACTGCTTAAGAGGAGCTAGCTCATCACCACCTGATGTATGTAGAACTGGATACCCAACCCAGGACTTTGTACAAACTAGGCAAGCACTCTATCAACTGTGTCTGAGCCCAGGTCTGTCTGTCTGTCTGTCTCCCTCCTTCCCTCCCTCTCCTCTCCTTTTTCAGTTATCAAGCAACTTAGCCTAGTGCTCAGGAGGCTAAGGTAGGAAGTTGGAGAACTCTGCTATGAGTTATGAAGTGACATGGGAGGGAGGGAGGGAGGGAGGGAGGGAGGGAGGAATGAAAGGGGGGGTGGGAGATTTGGGGTCTGGTTTCTATTGGTGAACCTCTTTCGTTCCCCTCAACAACAGACTGAGAATTGATGACCAGGTTTTCAAAGGGAAGACCAGTGTGCTTAAGGAGAGAAGGAACACCAGGCAGTTAGGAACTATAGCTACCCAGTGATGAAGTTTAAAAACTGCAAGCCCATCAGGAACCAGTATTCCACAAACTTTCCCAATCTTGTGACATGCCCATTTTCCCTGCCCCTAGACTTTCCAGGTCAGTGAGTATCCAAGTGGATTGTTTTTCATTGTAAATACCTTAAAAATTAAAACTTACTTAGGAAAGGCTATAGGTGAGCTTCCTTTGTCTCCAGACAAGGAAATCAACTTCCTCCAATCAGCATTGATGCTTTTCAAAATACTAATTTTTTGATGACTATTTCATTTAGGGACATGGTCGTGAAAGGGAATGGGCATCCATGATTAAAACGGCCTCAGTTACATTTGATTGTGTGGGCACCAGAGCACAGAATTCAATTTTGGAGTCCTGAGGCATATTTCATGTCTTGTTTTATAGCAGTTATGGATACTTGCTGTCTCTCTGTGTGGGCCCTGGATATGTCATCATTAGCACCCTAAGAAGCAAGTGACAGTGTGCCCATTTTATAAACGAAGAAAGCAGAACATAAATGCATTCTAGAACTCACCCCAGACGGGTAGTTCCGTAACTTTCTGTGCTAAAGTATCCCCACTAGAACGCTTTTGTTAATATGTAAATTCTGACCAGTAAACAAAGTATGGAGATAGCCGTTCTACTTTTACTTTTAAAAACCTTTGAGACGGGATCTCTTGTAGCCCAACCTAGCATCACAACCTCTGTTAGCTGAGGGTGGCTTGAACTCATAATCCTCCTGCCTTCATCTCTTTACTGCTAGGACTGTAGGTATCACATCCAATGTAGGATGAGTGCCAGTGTTTGAAGTGGCCAGAGGCATTAGATCTCCTGGAGCTGTAGTTACAGGCAGTTCTGAATCACCTGACATGGTGCTAAGAACCCACCGTGGGCCCTCTGCACTGCTGACCCATCTCTCTGGCCCCTGATGCTGTGTTTTAATCAGCTCCTATGTAAAAGTCAACACTATTGTTGCGTGGACCACACATTGAATAGAAAGGTCCTATATCATGTGTCCTAGGGTCTCAATTCTACCTTATTTTATAGATGTGTGTGTATTTTCAATAGCATTAATATAATACTTCACTAATATAATTCATGTTTTTTTATAAAGCTTAAAGTACATATGCATTTAATTTTATCCAATTCTGTCTCATTTTTCTTGGTATTTACAGGTTATGTTGATTCATCTTTTGTTGTTGGTTTTAACTGTTCGTTTCAGATGGGCTTTCATATAGCCCAGGCTGGTCTTAAATTTGCTGTATAGTTGAGGCTGGCTTTAAATTAACTCCTGATCCTCCTGCCTCTGCTTCCAAATATTGGGATTCCAGATGTATGCCACAATACTCTGATTTATCTATGCTCCAAATACTTCCTTCGGTAGTGTTTTAGTTAAACATTTACTAAAAAAGAAAGAGCTAGGTATGGAGGCTCACATCAGTAATCCCAGCACTGAGAAGGCAGGTGAGGTCATCATGAGTTCAATGCCCTGCTGGTCTAAATTGTGAATTTGAGGCCATGATGTTGGGCCTAAGAAAGGCTTGGATGCGAGGCCCAGTGTAAGCTCCTGAGCCTGACTTGAGTTTTGGGCTCGGGTGTGAGGCCCAGTGTAACCTCTTGAGCCTGGCTAGAGTTTAGCGACCTGTCTCTAACCTGTAACCTCCACGTGGGGTGACTCAGCCAGATCTGATGCAAGATTGCCCCATGCCTAGCTACCTGCCTACTTGGTGGAATACTATTGGCCCTTAACTCCTCACGTCACCTTACCCCATCCCCTACCTCAGTCCTATATGAGTTCCTGTGTGTTGGAATAAATCGAGATCCTGCTTCGACAGACTCCCGACTCAGTGTGGTTTTTTCTCCCTGGTAACTAATGGGGGGAGGGTCTGAGTCGTCGACACTCACCATCCTGCTCAGCCCCCGGGAAGAGGCCTGCTGGACCGGCCCTTCCCCCTGCTCTACCTGCAGAGAGGACCCTACACCATCCTGGACTACCCAGTCAGACCCTGTTTCAAAGATCGAAAACAAACAAAACCTTACAAGACTTCCACACACCTCAAAGAACAGCCAATTAACCACGTTTCATCCTGTATTGTTGTCTTCGTTCGAGTTTCTATTGCTGCAATGAAAGACAAAAGAGAGTTGTTGAGGAAAGGGTTTGTTTGACTTACACTTCCACATCATAGTCAGTCCATCACCGTGAAGGAAGTCAGGACAGGACCTCAAACAGGGCAGGTTCCTGGAGTGCAGGAGATGATGCAGAGGTCATGCAGGGGTGCTGCTTACTGGCTTGCTTCACATGTTTTGCTCAGTCTGATTTCTTATAGAGCCCAGGACCACCAGTCTAGGGACAGCTCCACCTACAATGGGCTGGGCCCTCCTCAGCCCCTCCCACATCAAATCACTAATTAAGAAAGTGTCTTACAAGGAGTGCTCATGGAGGCATTTTTTTTTAAATTGAAGTTACCTGCTTTCAGATAACTCTAGTTTGTGCGTCAAATTGACATAAGGCTAGTCAACACAATTACGTTGATTAAAATAGCCTGGGGCCAACCAAGACTGCCTTTCACTGTTCAGGTGAGGTAGCTTGCTCGACCTGTTTCTGTCAAGGTCAGGGACAAAAAATTGGAACTGTGACTGGTGTTCAGCATAAAAACTGCTAATAACAAAGTTAGATTTAGGGAAAGGGCTTCGTTGTCTTTCCTACGTTTCCCTTGGTGTCTGTTTCCTATTTTTCTGGGCCTCATCATTGAAGCACGGCTGCTCTGCCTCAGCCATAAATTAAAGGAGCAGAAATCAGGTTAGCCAGTGAAACCTGGGCCCCTGGAGCAGCTGGAAGGAGCCTGAACTGTAGAAAGGACTCCTGGAGGGGCATGCCAGGCCAGAAACAGTCACTGTTCCGGAATAAAGACTGGTGCAGAGTCTAACTACACAGAATGATGTCCTGTGTTCTCGAGGCTTCGGAGAGCAAGATTTCAGGTAAATGACACCCTCCACCTGGTCTCAGCCAAAAGGCCGAGAATCGATGCAAATAGCACACTCAACGTTGACACAGGTCTGCCCTGGAAATTTAGGATTGTGGTTCTCGACCTAAGGATTGAATGGAGGTAAGTGTTTACCTCCAGGACATGTGACAAACCTGGGCCAGGTCTAGGAATGCCATCGATTGTAAACCGCAGGCACACAGAGCCACATTGTTTCCTACAGTGCTCCTGAATGGAGCTTATAGATGGGTATCCGTAAATCTCTGGGAGATGTATTGAAGACAGATTCATTCGAGGTTTTAATAATTACAGAAAGGACCTTCTCAAATATTTTGAAAAATGTTTATATTGGCAGGTTAGTTATTCATAGTAGTGTTTCATTTTGGTATTTTCATACATGTATATAATGTATTTCTAGTATATTCATTGCCTACCCCTTCTTGTCCTCTCCTACTCCCATAATTTGTCTTCCTTTTCCCAACTAACAGTTTCCTTCTGCGTTTGTGTAATGTATGACCCGCAGCTTTTCATTAGATTTGTCTACCAGTGCATGGGTGGGAATGTGCTTGCAGGTAGCTCTGTGCCCTAACCATGACTGAAGAAAATGTTTCTCTCCGATCAAGTTGAGCTGTAATCTTCAGGAAGGGGTGGGACCGTGTGAACCTCTTCCCCTTCCAAGAGAGAGTGTTGACAGGCTGAATTTTTAAAAAACAATCTGTTTTTTTTTATTTTGCATACCAATTCCCATTCCCCCTCCTCTCCTCCTCCCGCTTCCCCCACCCCATCCCCCCATCTACTCCTCAGAGAAGGTGAGGCCTCCTGTGGGTAGGCAACAAACTCTGTCAGACCACTTTGAGACAGGACCAAGGAAGGGCTCCCTTCCCCCCTCCCCTATCTAGGCTGAGCAAGGTATCCCTCCATAGGAAATGGACTCCAAAAAGCCAGTTCGTGCACTAGGGATAAATCCTGGTACCACTGCTAATGACCCCCAAAACTGCCCAAGCCCCTCAACTGTCACCCACATTCAGAAGGCCTAGTTTGGTCTTATGCAGGTCCCCTCACTGTCAGTCCAGAGTCAGAGAGCTCCCACTAGCTTGGGTCAGCAGTTCCTGTGGGTTTCCCCAACATGGTCTTAACCCCTTTGCTCATACTATCATTCTTCCCTCTCTTCGACTGGCCTCCGGGAGCTGGGCCCAGTGTTTAGCTGTGGATCTCTGCGTATGCGTCCATCAGTTGCCGGATGAAGGTTGTATGATGACAATTAATGTAGTCGTACATCTGATGACAGGGGAAGGCCAGCTCAGCCCCCTCCCCACTGTTGCTTACAGTCTCAGCTGGGGTCATCCTTGTGGATTCCTGGAAATTTCCCCAGTGCCAGATTTCTTGAAAATCCCAAGAATGGCTCCTCTATCAAGATAATGCTTTCCTTGCTCTCTGTCCTTCCCCAACTCAACCATCCTGTTGTCTCATGTTTTCCTTCCCCTCCCCTCCCCTCCCCGTCCCCCCTCCCTCCCCACCACACACCAGATTTACTCTGGAGATCTTGTCTATCTCCCCTTCCCAGGGGATCCATGCATGTCTCTCTTAGGGTCCTCCTTGTTACATTGTTTCTCTGTGGTTGTTGACTGTAGGCTGGGTATCTTTTGCTTTATGTCCAATATCCACTTATGAGTGAGTACATACTGTGCTTGTCTTTCTGGGTCTGGATTACCTCACTTAGGATGATTTTTTTTTTCTAGTTCCATTCTCTTGCCTGCAAATTTTAAGATGCTGTTTTTTTTTACTGATAAGTAGTACTCCACTGTGTAAATGTACCACATGTAGAAGACTGCAAATAGATCCATATCCATACATGAAACTCAAGTCCAAATGGATCAAAGGCCTCAACATAAATCTAGCCACACTGAACCTCATAGAAGAGAAAGTAGGAAGTAGCCTTTAATACATTGGCACAGGAGACCACTTCCTAACTATAACACCAGTATCACAGATGCTGACAGGTTGAAATTTTATTTCTATGCTTGTTTATCCATGTAGTTAAAGCTGGCCTCAAACTTGTCATTCTCATGTCTCAGCCTGTGGCTTATTAAGGTAACAGGAATGCCTCAATAGGCTTGGCTTGTGTCAGTATTGTATATAAACACAAATTTGGATTTCCCTAATCAGCCAATTAATGTATTTAAGGTAAACATTAAATTTAGGGAACAAACAAGCAAGTGAAAACTCCTTAAAACTCAGTTAGAATAAGTGACAGCAGACATGTCTTGTTACATTTTTTTCAGTTGTTGGTTGGTTACCAGCAATCACATCTGACACATCAACTTGGCTGAATAGTTATAGGACTATCTTTTGTAGAATTACTGTGTGCTTGGTATTAACGGTCTAGAACTCTCTTAAACTTGGGGCTGGAAAGATGGCTCAGCAATTATGAGAACTGGCTGCTCTTCTAAGGTATTCAGGCTTGATCCCAACCACACACACACACACACACACACACACACACACATACACACACGGTGCCCCATAATTGTCTGTAACTCCACTTCCAGGGGATCTGATGTCCTCTTCTGGCTTCCCTGGATACCAGGCACAGATACACATGCAGACAAAATAAGCACATACACAAAATAAATACCTAGAATTAATCTTTTAAAACTCTTAAAGACTTAATCTAAAAATTACATTATCAACATATCTCTTTACTTATTTTAACTTGCTCATCCTAAAGTATTAAACGTCAAATCTTTAAATATAGTAAAGGCTACCGAGACAGCTCAAAGGGTGAGGCTGCTTGCCACAGAGGCCTCAGATAGTCCTTGATAGCATTTTCTCATGTCTAGAAAAAGCCATCTTTACTTGACCATAGCAGAAATCTTACCTACTCACCTATAGTTATCTATTTATTTGTCTTCATTTTTAAACATTTTACATGTATTTATTTATGGTATATGTCTGGTTGTGGGTTGTCTGTAGAGATCAGAGGACAACTTCGGAAGTCGATTATCCCCTTTTTCTATGTGGGTCCTGGGACTTGATTGCAAGCACCAAGATTTCTGGCGATCAAGTCAAGATGCCATTTTCTCAACAGATGGGAAAATGTAAGTTAGGTCTATCTGAAGCCTCTGTGGTGGCTAGAAATACACTACCAGGACCTTTAAAGATGCCGGTCCAGATTTACAGTGTTCTTCGTGGTTCCATTCCTCTCTCTGAATTTCCCTTCTCTGATCAAATGGCTAGTGGTCACTGTATATCTGATATCCCCCGAAGAAATGAAACCAGGAGGGATTTCAGTGTGTATTTAAAAATTAGGTCTTACCTAATTTTTACACACGCACACAGACACACACACACACACACACACACAGACACACACACCACTACAAGTACCACACAAACATCACCCCCACACCCCCACACTATACTTACATTACAAACAGCACACATACACACAATATACAAAAAAACTCCCAAACAAACAAAAAGCAAAAACGAAAATGACTGCTAAGGTGCTAGAGATGTAGCTCAGTTGGTAGGGCTCCTGCCTAGACTTCTCAAAGCCCTGGGCGCAAACCCCAGCACAATATAAATCAGACATGGCGGTGTGCGCCTGTAATTTCAGTACTTGGCAGGCTGAGTCCAGAGCGGCATGAAAAGCTCAAGGTCATCCTCAGCTATACAGAATTCAAGTCCAGTCTAGGGATGTGTACAGCCCTATCTCAGCAAGACTGCTGAGCAATTCAGGTGACAAGAGCTCTGTCTAAATGAGGTCTGTGACAGACGGGAGGAAGTCTGAACATCTGAGAGACATTTAGGAATTGGGACTTGGAATCGATTGAATGTGGGGGAAGTAAGGAGGGGCTCTGTCAGGAGGGAAAAGATGGCCAACTTAATTTAGGAAATTTTGAGTTTGAGAGGGACGTCAAGGAAGGGTTTGAACTGAATACCCAGAAGGGACATGTTTCTGAAATAGGTACTTCATGTTGTCATCCATTTATGACTAGAGATCCTGGGAGGAAAACATACCAACTCAACAAGAAGGAGGTCAGAGAAGTTTGATGTTGGAAACACTGAGGCTAACAGACATCAGGAGAAGAATGAGGGAAACTGGCGTGAGCTGGAGAGAAGTCCCCATCTGGGATTTGAACGGTACTTTGTGACACTTGTAGTTTTGCGCATATATACACTTTTTATTTAGTGCCTTTTCTTGGCTTCGAGGGGGCATTCGGATGTTATCTGTTGACTAATCATTTACAGTACTGAAGACACAGAAATCAGTGGCGGCTTCCCTGCAGGGGTGACCATGTGGGTTCTGAGAGTCCAACTCAGGTCCCCAGACTTGGTGGCAGTCCATCAGGGTTGTTCCTTCCAAGGAAGGAACGCCCAGCCTGTTATCTGGCCAGAAGGCTGGGAGCAGATGTGATTAATAGCCTGGTGACTTTGGCAGTATCGGTGTTGTGGAGACAACACTGTCGTCTGTCCTGTTGTGTGTGCCCACCGAGGCCCCCCACCCCACCCCCGGTGCCCACCATGGTAAGCTTGTTTTTCCCAGTCAGTCTATAGAACCCATCTTTATAGATGGTGTCATATGCGCTTAACAGAGAGTTTCAATGCAGTCACGGTCCAATCTTTATTTAGCTTACCTTTTTCCTTTATGCATGCTTTGTTGTGCACATAGGATTGAGTTAATTATCACCAGGGATGTTTTCACCAAATTGTGCTGTGCTTAAATATGCCTAAAATAAACTACCGGTGGGGGGGGGGGTCAGACTCCTGAACTTTGAACCAACACTGGTTACTTAGTTGTGTTGAGACAAACTGCCTTCTGCCTCCCACGGATCATTACTCGGCCGGCTGGGGAGGTGGCAGAGACTGCCACAGTTAATGAAATAAAACCTCAAAGGAAACAGAGAAGGAAACACGGTCTCCCCTTCTCTCACACCCCACACTCAACCAGCAGAGATGTCGGTAGTTCAGAATCTGACTCTTGTTCCACAGCTGACACAGCTGCATCATCTCTGCCCTGTGACCCGCATTGTTAACGGCAGTTTCCTAATGGTCGTCCCAATCTCTTCCCGTCTGCCTCTCCTGTGCTCCTACAGAGATGAGAATACTACTGACAAAGCTGGCTGCATTCTGTCAGGTTAGGGATCTGGGCCCCCGTCCCCCATGAGCTTGCAGCCCGTGCGTTTACAGGAGCTGTTTCTTCTCTAGGTCTGAATGAGGGATGGCTTGACTCCAGGCTGCGGGCTGCAGGCAGGCAAGGGACTCTGCTGACTGGAGACAGAGACATCAGTTATTTATCGTGTGGTCTGGCTCAGAACAACACGGTAGTGAGAGTGTGTTGTGTACGTGCGTGTGCGTGTGGGGGTGTGTGCTTGCATGTTTGTGAATGTGAGATTCCCTGTTGCCTTTGGATTCTTTAAACTTCACTAGGAAATTTGTTACTATTCGGAATGTTATGCATGATTTGTTTTCTTTCCTGGTGCTGGGGACTAAACACCGGCCCTTTGGCTGGCTTGGAAAGTGCTCTCCGATGGAGGGAAAGCCCCAGCTCTGCACTTTTTAAAAAACATATTATTGCCCTAATTTCTCCATTCCAATTATAATATAAGACACAATGGGATAGGGAATTGTGTTTATTTTGTTCCTTGTTATATCTGCAATCATTAGCCAACCTGAGCTATACGAGACCTTAACAAACAAACAAATAAATAAATAAATACAAGTTTAAAAATAAACCAGAGTCGAGGAGTTTTAAGAACAGAAATCTAAGGCCAAGGATGGTGACACGTATCTATAATCCCAGCACTTGGAGACTGAGGCAGAAGGATGGTCACAAGCTTGAGGTCACAGCCTAGGCCAAGTAAGATAGGGTGCATGAGGCAATCATGGGCTTCAGAGCGAGACACTGTATCAAACAAAACAAGAAGATGGGCCGGGCGTTGGTGGCGCACGCCTTTAATCCCAGCACTCGGGAGGCAGAGGCAGGCGGATCTCTGTGAGTTCGAGGCCGGGCTGGACCGATAGCCTCCGAAACAATACAGAGAAACCCTGTCTCGAAAAAACCAAAAAAAAAAAAAAAAAAAAAAAACAAGAAGATGTAGCTTAGCATGTGGGGAGATCTGGGTCAATTCTGGGTTCCACATAAAAACCTGATTGGGATGATACAAGGCTGGAGGATCAGAGTTCAAAGCTAGCTTGGGCTACAAGAGACCCTATCTCTAAACAAAAGCAACACTCCCACCCAAACGACCAGATCCATAATAAAAATGAGACATCTATTGTCTGTATAACCCTGAAACACACAGACATACTGTAAAAGCCTGTAGTCTGTTCTTGAAGCAGACTAAGGGGATGGGGGTGGATTATGGGCCACCTCCACTAAACAAACTAATACTGATAGCAACAACGTGCAGAGAGTGTCATGACTGCCTCACACACTCAGACAAGCAGACGGACACAAAATGGCAACATGCTTATATAAATAACCATCAATTTTCAACCGCATCTTTGGGTCCTAGAGTCGGGAGCAGCGCCAATGAGCTGTGTTTTCAGCATAGAAGTGACATCCTTATCTTTCCTGGTAGTGGACCCACACCTGAGAGGGAAGGGGACTGCCTTAGTTACTCTTCTGTTGCTGTGACCAAACACCATGACCAAGGCAACTTATAAAGAAAGCATTTAATTTGGCTCACTGTTTCAGAGGGTTAGAGTCTGTGATGATGGAGCAAAGTTACAGCAGCAGGAGCAGCTGAGAGCTCACATCTTGACCAAATAGGAGGCAGTGAGAGGCTCACTGAAACTGGCAATTCTTTTGAAATCTTAAAGCCTGATACCCTTCCCCTCAACATACCGCCTCCAATAAGGCCATACCGCGAATCCTTCCCAAACAGTTCCACCAGCTGGAGATCAAGTATTCAGACGTTCTCATTCAAACACTATAGTGGTAGAATGGAAGATGGACTCCTTCTCAGAAAGCCAGTTTGGCCCAAGCAGAGTGACTGGCTTGTGAGCTGCCTGCGCTGTGGGAGTGGTCTGAGGACTTGCTGCATTTCCAGGCTGTCCCACAAGATGTATTGCCCAGTATGAACTGACATCATAGAAATGTTTTTCTGCTTCTCTGAAAATAGTAATGGCCTTGCTGATTTGGCTGCTGGACAATGTGACCTTGTAGTCCACTGAGGGGCTTACTTCTCGTGATGGTAAAGGGTCTCTGGGACGTACGGGGTGGCATGTTCAAAATGCTGAATGTCACAGCTGGTGGGGAGTGGAGGGAGTCCTGAGTGAATGCAGTCATAGGCAAACACGTTGAGTGGGCATGGCCATGTCAAGGACCCTAGCCTCAGACCCATGTAAAAGTGGCATAGCCTTCCTCCACCCAGGGGTGAGGCTCAGTGAGGTGGCACAGCCCTCCTCTGGCCCATATGCAGATGTTAATATTATAAAAAATATTCACTACGGTCCCCCTCGCCACTCCCTGCCCCAGGATGTTTATGGCCTGAAGACTGCTTCTCTACAGAGACTGCACTTACTAAGATTATCTAAATCTATTTGCCTCCTTGTTCAGCTGGATATAATAAATGTGCTGAGTTTGGGACATGGGGGGAGGGTGCTGCAGCTTCTCCATCAGAGAGCCCAGTCCACCTGATCCCAGCTTTTCTGTTTGGTATATGTCTGTCCGACCTCAGTCAGGTCTAAGTCTCAAGGATGTTTCAAGAGCTCAAGATTTTAGCACCCCCAATCAAGCCCCTGCTCAAACAAGCACATGAACTCCCTGTTGCTTTTCTTCTTTTGCTTCTGCCTCAATGTTGATCCTATTAGTCAACATCCAAAATTTAGCCGCCCAATCCAGTTACATCATCAAGGAAGAGTGCATGCCAAAGTGACCAAAACTAAGCTAAAAGACTAGAGACCCTGAATGTTTTCCCCCAAAGCCACCTACATAGGAAGTTTGCATTCTTAAATCATAAGCATCTGCTTCCATAGATGGTGCATGCCTGCAATCCCAGCAGCACTTGGGAGGTAGAGGCAGGAGCATAGGAGTTCAAGGTTATCTTTGACTACATAGTAATTCTAGGCCAACCTGGTCTATGTGAGACCCTGTCACCAACCCACCGACCACCCATCTTTGACTGCTTCTTTCAAAGAATGCACTAGTGTGTATCTGAGCTGTATCAATGGTATTTTCCTCCTCCCCTCATTTTGCAGCTCCTGGCCCAGGAGACACTGGTTTCTCTCCTTTTTCCCTGACTGTGTTTCCAGAACTCCTGGTTGCACAGTTCAGCTCAACTTGGATATCACAGTGCCTGGCATTGTGTGTTCTTCTGGTGTCATTCTCCAGGGGCAGATGTAGAGTAAAGGGACCTGCTGCTAAGACACCAACATCTATAGGGTTATAGGTCATTGCAGTAAGCATTCCCCCTTTTAGATAACCAAGACTAATATTCTATTGAAAAGGGTTTACGTTTGAACATTTCTTGGTTGTAGCTCCTTGTTTTTTCAGGGCGTGGTTCCTACCCCTCTAGGGACTAAGGAGAAATGTTATGCAATGACAGGCTCACTTCTGGCTCATAAGGGAAGGAGTCATACTATTTATTTCCTGATTGAGTCTGGTGGAATTATTCCTCAGAGGGAGAATGTGCGTATTCTGAAATGAGACGTGCTGGCAACTTAGAACGAGGCCATCAGATTCAGTACCACGAGGCATATCTAGCATATCTACCTTATGAGCAATTTACATTAACCACATTGTACATGATATTTCTAAAATACATTTGGTTATTACACCTAATTTCACCTGTTTCTTTTAATTTTTTAAGCTGTGTGTGCTAGAGAATTTCAGATCACAAAACAAATAAAAATAAGAACAAAGACCAACGCTCAACCAAACAATGACAGAAAGTAGTTCCTTTTTCAGTGGAGCCTGCTTTCCCTGGGGTCTCTTTTGGAGTCACCCAGGGGCCTGTGTGGTGAAAGGTGAAGAGAAGGCAATGCAGTGGTTTATGTAAGACAGCATCAGGAATTGCTGAGACAGAAAGTCTTATGTGGTAGGGCTGGAGAGATGGAAGGATGGTTTCTTGCAGAAGACATGAGCTTGGGTTGTCTCATGGAGAACAGGCTGGGATCCAACTCATTATGTAGCTGAAGATGACCTTGAACTCCTGATCTTCCGGCCTCCACCTCCCAAATGCTGGAATTTTAAGTGTCTCACCAAGCTTAACAGATTTTGTGGTGTTTTTGCTGGAACCAAACTAATGATCTGAACTTGGAACTTCTCTACTTAGTGGTGAGTTAGGATTGGGAGAAGAGAGGTGAGGTAATGGGACCAGTACCCTTTAACACAGAGAACATGCTGTGTTCTAAGTTAAGACACAGACATCAAGAATTTTATTGAGCTATACAGCATAACACATGTCTTCAGATACTACTACTTGCAGGTTAAGGCAATACAATAGCTTGAGCACAGAAGTTTGAGCCATCCGGTTCACCATAGCAAGACCTTGTCTCTAACAACAGTTGTAATTATCTTCGCAATTCATGTTTAGAACTCTTACTGATAAAATATTCATTAATTTCCAACTTACAAGCAAAGCTATGTTTTAGGGTTCCTGGAAAACTTGAAAAATTGACTTAATTGATCAAAGAAAGATCCCCAGTTGACCAGGATAGGAAGCCAGTTCATGCCACTCTCTAGAAGTCAACCTAAGTAAACACCAGCCAGCAGAGAAAGCCATTTCAGGAACGTGTTCCAGCACAAAGGGAAGTTTAAAGGGAGACTCTAATAAAGTGTCAGCAGCAGAAGCACCTTTGAGAGCGGAGGGAGTGTGTGGTCCAGAGAAGCCCACTGTGGGTGTGGGTTAGCTACACTTGGCTGAGGTCGTAACGGCGGGGCTGTAGGCCTTGCCACTGTAGCTTCTGCACTAATAGGTGAGTCTCTGTTTTAAATGTGACTCTAACAGACCTGTGACAGCATCGTATTCATTGCAACATGAATGAAGACTAGTACGTGCATTCAAGTTTCAGAATCATTGCCCTAGACATTTTGTAATTCCAGTACCTCTCTGGCGAGATAAGGTTAAGAACCAGTTTGAAGATTATTTTCATCTTTCATAGATGCCTGCCACTATCAGTGGTGCAAAAAAACATTTTGGAAGAAAGAGTTCCTTCTGTGTGTTTTAAAAACAGAATTTGTAGTTTCTTTTGACCTCCAAGATAATTTATACAGAGGAGGAACACAGCAAAACATGAGAAACAAAACCCAACCATATCACATCTGTAATCCCAGCTCTTTAGAAGAGGCAAGGGGGGTGTCCCCAGTTCCAAGTCAACCTGCATTACAGTTAGATGCTGCCTTAAAAACCCAAGGGAATGGGGACTGGAGAGATGGCTCAGTGGTTGAGAGCACTTACTGCTCTTGCAGATGACCTTGGTTGGGTTCCCTACCCACACTTGGCAGGTCACAACTGCTTCTCACTCCAGTTTCAGGGAATCCAATGCTTCCTTCTGACTGCTGAGGGTGCTAGGCTCAGGCATGCAGCCAAACACTTATACACATGCCATACAAATAAATCTTTAAAAATTTCCAAGAAAAAAAAAGTGTCATAATGGGAGATGTCATTCTGTAAATCTGTCTGTTGAATAAGGCACTTTTGGCCAATAGGGAAGCAAGATAGGTGGGACTAGGAGTCAAGGAGGATTCTGGGAAAGAGAGGCAGAGACAGACACCATGTAGGCCACT